GGGCTTATCTGTCCTCCTCTTGCACTGCCTGAACTTGGGATCTGCAAGTCTCTCAGCCACCAGGACTGACACAATGGGCCAGTGAAGGCCAAGGAGACAGAGAAGTTCTCCTGGGCAGGAGCAGCTGTGCCTGCGAGGGCACAAAGTAACTGAGGAATCTGAGGCTGGAGACATTGCTCAACAGCAAGAGCACATTCTGCTCTTGCACACGGACCGAATTTCATTCCCAGCACCCTCCCTGGACCGATTACAGTAGTTTGTGACTTCATTTCCAGGGGATTCAACCAACACCCTCTCCTGGCCTCTGTGGGTACCAGGCACACACATGATGCAAATAAGTACACGCGGGCTAGCATTCATGCACATAAAACAAAACTAAATCATGAGCCAAGCATGGAGACTCATGCCTCTAATACTAGCTCTTGAGAAGCAGAGGCAAATGGATCTCTGAGGTTCGAGGCCATCCTGGTCTATACTGTGCATTTCAGGACCGTCAGGGCTACATCATAAATACATGTATTCATTCCCTGGTGAGTCAAACGTTATCCCAAGGTTTGCGGTTTTGGTGGTGGTAGACAGGGAGCCCTTTCTAGGCACCCTTCAGTTGTACTCTAACCACACGTGACTTGTACCCTCATCTCTGTAGAAAGACTCCCTGAGACTGAAAGCGGCCTCCCTGTCTAGACCCTGCAGAAAGTGTGTGGTGATCTACCGTATCAAAGGCAATCAAAGTTGGCAATGCAACTTCAGCGGTAGGCAGGTAGGCACGTCTGCTGAGGAAAGCTGAAGCGACACCACCCTAGACAGAGACTGCAGTCTTGAAAAGTGCAGAAATCAATAGTCACTGAGTTGGTCTGGCTGACTTTCAACCCAAAACATCCTGATGTGGAAATGACGTTTCGGAGGTAATTTGTCTAAATTGATTGATCTTTGTCATGAGTGTCTTGCTTGCTACTCTCATCTCCACTCACACCCACTTAAGTCAATCAGAGGGCTTTGCCCCTGG